CAATTTTAGTATATGTCCCATCGACGCGGGACAGTTAGTTTTATACATAACTGTCCTCATATAGCATTTATATTAGCAATAATTAATTTATTACAGTTTTTATTTTGTTTTAAGTTTGTAGTTAAGTATATTTATAAATGAGAATTTTCTTATGGATTGAACTACTTATGTATTTTGATAATAAATTATTATTATTATTATAAATATCGTTAAATAAGTTATGATAATACAGTCGAAAACTTTAGATAAGCAATCTTAAGTAAATATAAAGTAAATGTTTGATAATAAAGTATATCAAATATTATTATACATTTTAATATACAAGTATATACTGATAGTTTATTTATATTTGAAAAATGATAAAATATTTGAAATATTGTCAAATCATATAATGATATTTTTTTAAAAAAACTAAACTTATATTAACATAACATACAGTACTTATTATTAATTCAATAAATATTTTCATAATATATGTGTGAATACAATAATACTGTAGTAAACAATACTTTAGTTTGTTTTTCAAAAACAGAAAAACTGTAATATTATTGTAAAAACAAATAATAATATAAATGTGACAATAAATTTGACCATGATCAATGATCATATTTAATATTATATCATATTTGGATAAATTAATTATAAGGTAAACATATGACCAAATTGGTGACCAAAATATGACGGTCAATGGCTATAATTACCGATCGCAACAAGTATTCATGACTGACGCTCACCCGAACCTTATAGCGGCCATAGAGGACAACAAAGTTATAGTGGTTTACGAGAGGACCGCAACACTGGCCATCTATGATCTGACAGTATTGGCCGAAGTCAACAAACCCGTGATGACTGTACCGCTGCACGACTGCGGTGTCAAACAAGTAGTGCATTCATCCGTTGGCAACTATTTGGTAACGTTGGCCACTAATGACCGCAATAGAGATCACCCGAAAGTCAAACGAAAGGGACATAGGAATGGCATCTCCTGTCGTGTGTATTGTAACTATTGGATTGACGGTCAGTCGGCCAAAATAAGACCAAACAATCAATTGACTGACTATATGGTTAACAATAAGCGCGACGAGTCAACCACCTCTCGGGAACCGCTAACTCCCGAAGTGATTGACATCAAACATCATAACATTCAAAGCTATGGCCAACACGTGAGTTGTAGTCACCGTAACGGCAATCTGTGTGTCGGTTGTGGTTATCATCTCTTGATATACAACTATCAGTGTTTCGAGATATCATCTAATGTTCAGAAAAGTGATTTCGTTTTGCTTTTGGATATCAACAGCGAGTGGTTCACCACAAGTGTATCACTGGTTGATCCATATCTGGTAGTTATGTCAGCAAAACATTTGACTCTATTGCGAGTTAACTATGAATTTGATCATAAATTTGACGACAATTGTGGTGAAGATAAGGAACAGTTAACTGAAGATAATGCGAAAAGTTGTATTGAATGGGATTTTATTGACAACTCGAGTACACGACGACTACCCTCTCTGTTTGCCATCAAAGGAGAAGCAGTTGATGAGCACCGGACTCATTGTCGTCAAGTGTTCGGACCGGTCGACCAAAAGCTTTGCTGCAAATTCAAACTGACTGTCAATCACCTTAACATTTTGTCCAAAGTATGTCGAGCCGACATTGATGTCCTACTTTGTCAATACTTTGGCACAGATGAACAACTCATAGACGCAGTGGTCTTGTCGTATGACAAACAAAATAATATTCAATACTCCGATCCACTAAAAGTTGGTAACAAATGTCTACCAAATGTTTCTGAAATCACTAACCAAATCGCTAATTATAATAATGTTTTAGTTGTGATAACTGTTTCTGGTATCGAGTCTTACAAAATTAACTCAAGAGGTCTTAAACTACATAATAAACTGAAACTCGACGACAATTGCTTGAAAAGCTATTCAATCAGTAAAACTGATGACACGATTAATGTGTTGACCGAAAAAGGTGTTCACACGTATGCCATGAATGTCTGTCCCAATGATTATCCAAATTTTTCGCGTATTTACCCGAATTGTCGACCAATTTTCCAGATAGACTTTCGTACGTTTTTTAACATTGATTTTATTGACGAAACCAAAAGTTATGCCGTTTTGGTGAGCGAACAACAAAATAATTTGCGGACTATTTATGCGCTGAAGAAGCCAACCATTGATGAGATCTGTAGTGATTTAAACGGTTTAATCGATGAAAATGTCGGAAAAACTAGTCATCATTTGACTTTAGTTTGTAAACTGAATCTAATGTTTTATTTGAATTCAATAAACAGTTATAGTATCAATCAAATAGACGGTTATAATGATAAAGATTATCATAAATGTTATATAAATTTATGCAATTTATTAGTTGAGTTTGACCGCCGAAATCTGCAACAGGTGGCCATTAGATTAATATTATCGGCAAAACTTGTTTTTTCACAACTTATTAATCTTAGCGCAGATTATCAACTGATCAAAGAATTTATTGACCGAAATCTAAGTCAAGAATTTTGTGCCAATTTTGATGACATCTCCGACTGTGATCTATCTTTGATGAAGAAATTTTTGTACGATTTTTGTGATAATGACTATCAAGACTTTTGCCGTTTTTGTTTGTGGCAAACATTTTCAGACAATGAAATCAAATCACTTGTCATAGAACTTCTGTCCAATACTACTATTATACCGTCGATGACCATTCAATTATTACAAACAATTGCTTTAGTCAAACAATTGTTGGACAACAATGATATGAATTTAGCCAAAGATTATATTAAGTCATTAGAAGACGATTCTGTGATTCTGTGCCAAGAGTTGTGCCAAATATGTCAAATAATATTAGTCAACGAAAACAATAACAAACTGTTAGTCGATTTGCTTGAAGACAATCAGCAAAATATGTTTTACAAAATGTTGTTATCATTAATCAAACAGAAGAATTCTGTAGAATTTGTGTATCATTTGATCCGACATTTCAAACCACAAATTGTTAACAACTTTTTAGTTCAATCATTCAATCGATATCAACCACTGTTCACAAGTGACCTGTTATTTGTATTGATTAACTCGACAATCATTTTGCTAACTACCGTTCCTACAAATGAATCTATCAGTTATTCGCTCATTGAATCAATAGACATAACGGAACCCATAGATTGGTTACTACAGTTGACACCAAAACACAGAGAGATTGACTGCAATGCTTGCATCAAATGTAATACCGATATCTATGATCTCTATTATCTATTGTATGTTTCAATCAACGATCAATGGGTGAAATGTCAAGTAGTCGACACATTGGCCACTATTGATGGCCAACAATTTGAATGGCTATCCACAGCCCGACTATTGACATTGCCTATTGTTGACTGTATTGAAGTGCTTCTACAGGATTTTCCTCATATTTTATTTCATTACATCACTAATGTTTGTCTCAATAATACATCGGTGTTAATACAAGCAATACAACTAATTGACAAACAAATTGATGACATCAACGAAATTGATTGCTACTTATGTGATACTCTACGACTGATTTTACATCAATTGGCCATAAGTTTGACCCCAGAAGAGCTGATCCCAGCACTGCCACAAAGTTGGACACAGTTTGCCACCATTTATGTTGAAAAATGTATTATGAATATGCAGTCAAAGATATTGAAACAAAAAATTATTAATTTAGGCAACGAATTGAAATTAATGTATAATAATTGATATTTATTTATAATATTTTAAAATTATATATAATTTTATTGATAATTTTTATTTCATATAACTGTTAATTATTTATATATGACAATAATGTATGTGTCCGGTAATTATTTTAATTAAATAATGAATTCACTTTATATTATAATAAAAAAAATGTTGAATGATAAATTTTAGATTCATAGAAAACAAATATGTTTATTATAAAAATTTTAAAATTAGTAAAAATCAATTACCGGTAATATTAATTGAACACAATAGATATAAATAAATGATTTTATGATTATTTAATAACTATGTGTTTATACAGTATATACTGTAGATATGTTGTATTGTAAATGTGAAAAATTTGACATTAGATAATGTAAAATGACAAACATATTGTATTTATGGCTACATAATTATGGCTCTAAATACTGTCCATAAATTAAAAAGTTATTGACTATTATAAAAACTAGTGGTATATAATAAATACAGTCAATTATACCGAACTGTATTTATTTGAAATGAATTAATGGTTAACGTAAATGTTAGTATCAGGGTTGGAAAAATACATGGTTTTGAATTTTGACTTTGTATTATACAATTTTAAAAACTAATATATACTACAATCTATGTTGAAAAATTAATAAAAAAATGTTTAGTAAAAAAAATAATGGCTAGAATTTTTTTTGGTATAATAATAATGAAATAATTTAAATTATAAATTAAATGAATTGCCGGTAAATCTATATTTATGATAAAACATGGTTTACTTTACTTATTTCAATGCTTTTGCCATTAAGTGGCGTTAAATTTTGTTTGTATGTAAAATTGTCCATGTATTATTATATTATTAATGTATTATAATATTATAATTGTCCATGTATTACAGTATAGTTTATAATAAGCTTAGTATTATACTAACATTTTGTCTCTGCCAACACTAGTTAGTATTGAAATAAAAATACAAATACAGTATTATTCAATAATTTTTTATGAATATTATAGAATAATAGTAATTATCTATTGAGTAAATATTATAGATTTGAATAAAAATGATAAAAAAATGATATTACATTACAAACGATTAAAATTACAACACATACTTATAAACTACAGTATAATTATTTGTAGGATATATACTGTAGTATATAAAACTAGTAAACCTAACTTATAATTTTAATTAAGATAAAAGTTGTATCGTTTATTCAGATAGTACTGATAGAGAGATCATATCCAAACTCATTGGTATCGTTTCAATTGTTTTGTTGATTATTCAACAAAAATTAATTAATTTTCCATTCATTTTGATTTATGTTTTTTACTTTTCGACGGTTTCTGTATGGGGTTTGGGTTGTCATTAAATTTGTAACTGTGTTTAGCCTTCCAATGCATATAAAATTTATCGGAATCGGCAACCGTTTTATTGCAATCAGATTCTATACATGTTTCTATAGATAATTAAAATTAGATATTTTTGTAAAAAAATTTAACAAAATATTACTAAATATTATATAATAATAATGAAAACATTATTACGTGGTTTTCCTGTTTGACAGTGAATTTTTTCGACCATTTCTTTATGTTTCAAACACTCTTTACGTCCATTTTCAATGATTTCAACGGTTTGTTCAATTGATTTGCTAATCAATTGATTGCTATTATCATTGAAAATAGCAATAACTTGATCTTTAAGTTTACTAATTGTTTGTTCGCCTAATTTAGTAAATTTGTTGCTAATATCTTTAATTTCATTGTTTCTCTGATTACGCAATTTATTCAATTCAATAGTGGCTTTAATTTTTTCAGTTTTCTATATATTTTGAATAAAAATAATAATTTATAGTTAAATAATAAATTTTATAATAATTAAAAATATCAAACATAATAATCTTTTTGTTTTTTATAACGAATTCCATCATTTCTAGTCTTTTTCAATTCCTCTTCAATTAATTCTTTAGAAGTATTTTCTTTACTAAACATTGTCCGCCATTTCTGTAACTCTTCATTCTTGTCATTCATTTTATTCATGAGATTAGTCCTACTATTCTTTAATAACACATTATCTTTGATAACATCTTTGTATTTCTTCTCCAAATCAGTCGATTCTTGTGTTTGTTTCGTTAATTTAGTTTTCAATTTTTCAATCTTCCGGTTCTTTGTAGTGATTTTCCTTTTACACTGATTAAGGAAGTCATCCATTAGTTTGTTGTGATTTTGTTTCAATTCATTAATCTCCAGTTCCCTGTCGTCTCCCGATTCTCTCAACTTTCCCTTCTCAGTGGTAATTGTCTTAACCTCTGCCTTCATATGCGATAGTTTAGTAATCAACTCTTCGTTACACTCTTTGAGACCAATTTTATCGTCAGTTAAGTTCTGTATTTCTTCGATAAGTTTGGTTTCATTGTTTTGCATACAAGATATCTGAGCTGACAGTTGAGTCGTTTTGGCTGTCATTTGACTTATTTGTGACATCAAATCATCCATTTCTTTGTCTTTAGCATTGAGTTTCAGCTCCAGTTGGATCACCTGATCATTGAGTATAGCTTTGAGTTTCTGTGACTCTGAGCCCAACTCTCTTATCCGATTTGCCTGAGCTTTACGGTCGGCATCTGATAATGATAACTGTGCGGCACTTAAATACATAGTTTGTTTTGCCCGGCAATTAGTACACGAAAATGTATGTCTTGTCCGTTTGTTGGCTTCTCCGTGTTTAGTGGTAACACCATCACCATTGGTGTGTCTATTGTCACCACCAGATTGTTCCTGTTTTATACAATTGAGTTTTGTTTGTCCATCATTTTGGTTGTTTTCATTGTTGTTGTTAATAATAATTTCATCAATAATTTCAAAATCTTCTAAACTGTTGTCATCGTTGCCGAAACCATCGGTATCTTCATTACCAGTGTTGTTATAATCACTATAATTCTCGTCCATGACTGCAATGATTGACATTTTTAATTTCATTTATTTTTTAATAAAACTGATTTATCAAAATATTTTTTCTTACTATATATTAATATTTATTTTAAAAATTTTTTGTTTTATCATATATCATATTATAATTTAAACAAAAAAAAACTATGATAATATAGTTAAATATTTTTTTTAAAAACTTAACAAATCATAAATGTGAAAGGTCACATTTTATAATATATCTAAATTATTTATTGAAATGTTAAGCAATACTTTTTAAGGGCACTGATATACACACAAAAATCATTTTATTTAATTGTGAATTTTTATTTTATATTTATCATTTTGTTTGTTTGCTTAACTGCAATCGTGTCAAATGATTTTATTTCATTAAAGTCTGTATTGATTATTTGCATTCAAATTAAAAAAAAAACAGATATTTTTAATTTTTTTTATGGTAAATATTTGATGCTTATGTACAACATTTAATGTTTTAGGATTTTATTGGTTAGATTATGTTTGTTACAACAATTAACATAAAAAATGCAAATTTACAGGTGATTAAAATATAGATGATATTATTTTTTTAAAAAATTCAAATATTATATGCAAACAAATAATAATAGTTTAGTTAAATTTATTGATTAATAAAGTAGTAGTAGTAGTAGTAGTAGTATGTGTATTAAATTGTGTAGTGAAATATAAATTTACTATTTTAAAAATAAATTAATATATGTAAATAAATGCTTACCTGAATATTTGTGATGTAATTATACCAAATGATCTACAAATACAAATGTAACTAATATTTTGAAATTTATAATTAAACTGATAATAAAAAAAAGTTGAGAATTATTATTAAATATTTAGTGAATTTCAGTTAACATTATTTAATTTAAACAATAGATGAAAATCATATATATATATACAGTATATATATGTGACAAAATAATAATAAATAATTTGATTTAAATTTCAAGGACAACACATTTTTTTGATATAAAATTAATACTTTATTTTAATATTAATACCAAATAATAATAGTAAAGATGAGGAATCAATGAACTATATAAACACATCAAACAAACTGATAATTAATTTCCTATATTTCTATCAAATTATTTATTTGTCAAAACTTATGTCAATTGCTTTATACATATAGAGTATTCTAAATGCTATCAATTGTATTGAATCTATTGTACGGAAGCACCCAATAGTAGTGTGATATTCATCATAGAATTATTGTTGATGTAATGCAATCATATAATCATATAATCATATAATCATACATATAATACGTCTATTATTTTTTCAAAATTATTACAATTTTATTTTAGATGCTTTTTATGTTTTTTTTATCACTATTATGTACTACACAGTGTGTTAATATTGATTTAATATTGTTGTTTCATAAAGTTTCACAGAGTGTTAATTATATATATATATTTACATTTAAGAAAAATGGTACATAACTAAAACAACTTTGTAATATATTTTTATTTTTTAAAATTTAATTAATAGTTTACTACTAGACAACCATAATTATAATATTCAATAATTGCTAACTTCATAGCTATTAAAAATAATTGTTTATTGAATACAATTTAATATATTATATATATTGAAATTTAGTTAATTATTCTATTTTTTGTATTTTATATAAATATAATATATAATTAATTTAATTAATTTTATTCTAAAGCCTAAAGTAAATTCTATTGCTATTAATATATATATATATATATATATATATATATATATATATATATATATATATTATAAATATATTTATATAAAGTGCTATTATATTATATTTCCAAAAAAAACTTTTGTTATATTTAAGGACTGCATTAATAAATATAATACTTTATACAATAAAATAGTATACAAAATGTGATTTAATGTTTTGTTGATATGTCTGATCACATAATAATAATTATTATTTTTAAATTTTTATCTCAATTTACACCAATGTTGTCATATGTAACACAGATTTTAAACAAATAGATAACTGTTTGGACACTTCACACAAGTGTTTTCATTAACCACTTTATATAACTAATTGTTATATTAATATAATATTTGTCTAATTATTTATAGGTATAAGTAATTTTAAGAGACATATAATACACAGGATATGAATGTTTATATTAATAATAATATTATGGAAATTTAAAAAATATATTAATTTTATCATAATTCGTAACTTATAATTAGTGTATTGATTAATAATTTTTTATACTCTATTAAATAGTTGTTATAATAGTTGCCAAAAAACGTCAAATAGTTGTTAAAATAGTTATTTAAACTGTATTAAATAGTTGTATATAATTGCCAAAAAAACCAAATAGTTATTGAAATAGTTATTTATTTTCTTATAAATATTTCAACTGATATATAATTCACTTGTTTTCACATATTTACAAAAATGATTTATATAAATAAACTAATTATTTCTATTGTTAAAAAAGTAATATGAGTTGATAACAGTTTACACATGTTATATAATTTATATAACTATTATTTTTTGTTTTTACATATATTTGAGCAATATTTTACAATCTAATGCTTATATTTTTCAAAATAACTGAAATAGTTATTTATAAGTTTTTATAGTTGGTAACCTAACAAATAGTTATTTATAGTTATAATAAAATTTCGGAAATAGCGTCCACTGGTCAACTTCGGTGGACATACTAAGTCCCAGTTATAAGCGTTAAACCGACAAAATAATTTTTTTAGTTGAAAATCAAGACACTACTTATAATAATATAAACAATTTTTAATATAAATATTATGCCGTATATTGAATATATAGTAATATCTGTGATAGTATACAGTATACTGTATAATACTGTATCTTTTAATTGTAATACTGTATTACAAATTATTGTACAGTATATTCAATAAATAATATTTATGTTAAAAATTGTTTATATATAGTGTTGGGAATTTTACGCAATCCAATTTTCGATTGCCGCAATTGCGGAAAATTGCGTGAAATTGCGTGAAATTGCGCGCATGAGGGAATGTATAAAAATTTAATAAAATTTGCACATATAATCAATGAATTAATATTTATTATATCATATAAAATTAAGACTCATTTTCTGATTCAGATGAATCTTCTAAATTATTATTAATACATTTAAAATGTGTACGTATTGAAACTAATTTGGCAACTCTTTCATTTGTCAATTTGTTACGTTTTTTAGTATGAATGTCTCCAAAACTTGAAAACACTCTCTCAACCGCAGCAGATGATGGAGGGATTGACAATAATCTAATTGCAATATTAGATAAATCCTTATATTTCTTATATTCCTTGAATTCAGTCCACCATTGAATCACATTTTTAATATTTATCCACAATGAATCAATTGCAAAAAACCCTAAAAATATTCAGTAGTATAGTGGTTAGATCCCCAAAAATAAAAATATTACCATTTTTTGATTTATAATCGTTGTATGCAATTTTGATATCTGTAAGTTTATCTGAAAAACCAATAGAATCAATATAATCGTAGAGATATTTATTTGCCGAAAATCTCTCTTCATCGGTCAAATCCAATCCTTTATATCTTGGATCAAGAATATTTGTTAAATAATTAGCATCAGAAACTGCCATTTGTTTGCGATTAGTGAAATGATTTAAAATCTAAAATAAAAAAAGATTATTAAAACATAATTTTTGGGATATTAATCACTATACTACTGAAGATAACCTGAGATTTCATATTGCAATCAATTGATGAGTTTAAAATAGATGTATATATGTTGTTAAAAACAATAATAGTATCGGAAAGTGTTGCTTTATCTGATTCAATGATTGCTATTGCATCTGCAACTGGATTCAAAACATTAATTGTTGTCATCAGATCCGTCCAAAACCTGTCATTTGTATCCAAGAGATACTTTTTGATGTCAGCATTTATTTTAATTGAGGAATCGATTGCCATTTTTTGTAGCACTTCTTTTCCATTAAAAACTCGTTTCATTTGTTTAATATTTGAATACCATCTAAAGATTAAAATAGGATATTAACCACTATATTACTGAAGAATAATTTTTACCGTGTGTTGCTCCCTAATACTAGTGAATTGATTTTATTCTCTTTTGCTAATCTACGAAATAACGCCAATTTTAAATGAGAATCTTTTATTTCTACAGTTATTGAACGAGTTATCTTAAGTATCTCATTAAAATATGTCACACTTGTGCAGATATCTTGACTTAAAAGATTTAGTATATGAGCAACACAACCAAATGTCAACAAATGTGGATATTTTTCTTTAAGACGTTGTGACATATTTGACATATTTCGTGCATTATCAGCAATTATTGCTGAACACTTGTTAACACCTAAAAAAATATTCAGTAGTATAATGGTTAGTACCCCAAAAATATATATATATTAAATATTATTACCTAATTCGTTAATAACTTCTTCAGTAATATTAGCCAATTCTTCTCCTGAATGTCTTCGAGTTTCCATATCAATGCTTTTATAAAAAATAGGTTTTGGCAAACAAACACAAATATTAACTATTGAATCATTTCTGATATTTGACCAGCCATCGATGATTATAACAAACGAATTAGTATTTGTAATTAATGAATTGTTGTGAGAGTTAACCTAAAAATAAATTTGTTAATGGGATATTAACCACTATACTACTGCAGACCATTGAATATGTTGTGTCTAACAATTCTTTAGACAATTCTTTTCTTAATGGTATTTTAAATGATGGCCTCAATTTTTTAATGAATTGGATGAACTCTTGGTTCTCTACTAGACTAAAAGCACTTCCAGACGAGTACACAAACTTTGCGCATAAAAGCTTGAGGTCATCATTATCTTTTTTAGTTATTGAGTCCACAAACGATGGAACATCCTTTCGTGATTGAGATGACTCCGATGATTCAGTTGAATCGTCAGTTACTGTAATAAATGGGATATTAACCACTATACTACTGAAGATATAATTACCTTTACGTTTGAGATTTTTAGTCTTAATCTCTACTTTAAGGGTTGATAACACGTCTTGTGGTGGACATCCTTTACATGCATTTAGTAAATGTTCTCTCATTCGTGTAGCATTTTTGACTAAATAATTGCCACAATAATTACAATTATACTTTGTGTCAACTAAATTAAAATAATTATAAACCACTGATTTATTTTTATCCATTTTTAAACTACATAATAACATGTGTTTTATTTTTTAAACAATTTATTATTGTTAAAATAGATGGCGCTACTATACGATTGCGATTTTCGCAATCGGCATCTTCGCAATTGCGGCAATTTCACGCAATTTCATAGCAATGCAATTGCGCATTTTGCAATTGGTCCATCACTATTTATATATGAATTATTAATAAATATAGTCCATTTTACTAAATTTAATATTATTAATATAGTGTGTTATTAATAAAGTAATTTTATTGATTTTTTGTTTGTTTGATAACTTATTTGTAATATTTCACATTATTTATAATATATATAAAATAATAAATTACTTTAATGTATAATATACTAAATTTTTATTCCAAATGATGTGTAAATGTTTTATATACCGATATAACAGTACTATATAAGACTTTATATATCATATATAATATTACTAGAAATTATATATATATTTATTTATTTTATTTAAAAAATTATATTCAATGCTTACATGTGGTATTATTATTTGATTGTGTGATGCAATCAAATTTTGTGACATATAATTATACATTTTTATAGATTAATATATATGTATGTATTTTGTGCATTTTTGTGAATTATACAATTTATAGATATCTAAAAATAAATTATTATTATTATTATTATATATATATATATACTGTATATATGTAAACATGTGCATTTAAACAATTAATACATTTATCATTTAATTAAAACTGTTATCTTATATTTTATGGTTGATAAAAATAATGATGATTAAATTTAACTTTAAAAAATATGTTATATGTTATATAAATTAAATTTTAATGTTATAAATAAAAATCATATTAACTTATTTAAAAAATAATAAAAATGTCACACAATTTATTCATTCATTTTTAGTCTTTATTGTGCTGTTTGATAGTGGTTTGGGCATTAGCTCTGGTATATCCATGTTTTTTGATCAAATGTAAGTGCAAAAAGCCGTACCCAGAAAAATATCGGTCACAATGACAACAATTAACTATTAGATAAAAAATAATTTATATTAAAACATAATAATTTAAAATATTAGTAGAATTATATTAATTACTATTATGTAAAGTTAACAAAATTTTATTTACTTTTATCTCCGTTAAGATTTAGTTTAATTTTGTTGGCATTGATGTCTACATCACAACTCCTTTTCCAACCATTTTCAATAACATCGCCAACCGTTTCATTGTTTTTCATCTGAAACTCTGTTAGACTTGTGTTCAATATATTGTCGATCTTTTCCTTGACTTCAGTAAACGTTTTTCTGACGCTTGCATCGGTCGACTCATGTATTATCCGTATGTCTGTGTTTCTCAACTCCCGGTGCCCATTCAGGCGAATCTCATTTATCAGACATTTTCGTTTCTAAATTTAAAAAAAATCGAATTTAATTACATATATATAAATATATAAAAACTTTTTTTTATTAAAAAAACAAAATTATTTTTACATTAATTTCGCTTGAATTACGAAAATGTTTGCTCTGCTTCTGAACTCTTGTCAGTTCTGCCTTAACTGATATAAACTCTTGCGATAGTTGTCTACATTTTTTAGTCAATTCTTGAATCTTATCTTTAGATGATATTTGTTTTTTTGATGATTTATTTGCCAACTGATTGTACAAATCTCTCCATTTGACTGCCCTTTCCTGTAATTCCTGTTTTCTACTAATTAAGCCAACAATTTCATTACCCAATTCTATATTCTCTCGTTTCATATCATCGACACACTTATGTTGTCTGTCTTTTTGTGTAACCAATGCCTTGAGTTTGATATCCAGTTCCTTACGTTTGTTCCTTTCTTTAACTAATTCTGTATCAATTGTCTGAATCATTGTATAGTTTTTATTAGCCGTTGCTGTAAACTCTTCGTTAACTTTAATGAGTTGTTTATTTTCATCCAAAAGTCTATTGACTTCTTGTTTCAAATTAGTCGAAAACTTTTCTTTTTCGTTCAACTGATGACTGAGATTACTGTTCTCCACATTCAACGTCAGGAGTTCCTGTTTCTGGTCGTCCATTGCTGTTATCAATCCTTGATTAGTATCACTGAGCTCTGCGATCTCATTCTGTAGTGTCTGTATCTGATCCCTGTTCTCCAACTCTTTGTTTTCCGATCGGCGATCCAAATCATTTTTCATCCATTCAATTAGTACATCCATTTCGGTGACAGTCTTATTCCTTTCGCTGAGTTGTTGCTTACAGGAGTCATAATCCAGTTCAAGGTTTGCACACTTATCCAGAAGTAGCTCTTTATCGTTAACCAATTGCTGGAGTTGTAGTTTCAAGTCATCAATGATACCATTTTGATGTTTTATTATCAAATAATTTGATTGTTGTCTTGGAGGTGGTCTACTATATTCGTGGTTATAGTGAGATCGATGACGTGGATAATAATTTTGCCGATAATTATTATTGTTATTATTATTATTAAATCTTACAAAATTATCATTTTTATTTTTATAGTTAATGTTGTTGCTATTGTATTTGTTATAATAATTATTAGTATTTTTACCAAAATTTAAATTTCTATCATTATTAATATTAGTTGGTGTTATTGTTGTTGTTGTGTTGGATGCAATAGTTGTTGTAAAAAATGAATTATCATTATTATTATTATTATTATTTATGTATAAATTAGACTCATTGTTAGTTTTATTCAGAATTGTAGTAAAATTATTATTATTATTATCATTATTATTAGTTGCATTATTATCAATATTAATAATATTATTATTAGTTATATTTTCAGTATTATTAATATTATTTGGGTTATTATTCTCGATATTATTATTAATTGAATTCATGGTATTGTTGGCCTGTATTTCACTCGTATGAAACATAATATGATTGCAATCCAAAACTGGTGAAAACATTTTTATAGTTAAATTTTTTTTTGTCAAATAATTAAATGATTTATCTATTAAAAAAATAAAAATTGAGAGTAACTATAGTACAACATATGATAAAAATAATAATAAAATAAAATAATGATAATAAAGTATATATAAATTAATAAAACAACAATTTTATCTAATCAATTAGTTTAAGAAATTTTCCAGCAGTTTTACTAATTATGATATATATATAATAGTTAAATTAGGGTTTATAAAATTAATATATAAAAAAACTATACAAACATCATTTAATCAATATATATAATTTACTGTACTATCTTTTAAAAAACCAAACTATAAAATTCAATTAATGTAAACACATATAAAAAAAATTAGTATCACTGTACGTAGAGTTATTATATATTACATAATAGCAACACAAGCGCACTATTAATGATAGTTATGAATCATAACTAATGATGATTTGTACAATTAATGTATATATATTTATGTATATAAACTTAAAGTTTAGTCTCTAAATAATATCATAACTGATAGAAATACTATTAAGACATATGATAGGACTTGGATTTGAAGAGTAGGTAATATTAGATATACAATATGGTGTTTAATATGATATTTATAAATTAAAAATATTTAGTCCTAATTTACTACAATTTTAAGGGTATGTAGTTTTAAATTTTTTAAATATTAAATATATAAAATTTCAGTATTCACTTTACATTAAATTTTATATATATATCTATAATAAACAATATATATTTAATAGTTGAGATTTAATTGGTTTATAATATATTTGCCAACAAATTGAATACCGACACGTAATCATATAAATGTTTTTATTGCTTATATTATTCAGACAATATTTGAAGTCTATTAAATCTATTAACTTTTTTTCAATATCTCATCATTTATGATATTTATATAAATGAAAGATATATTGATTTAAGATTCATAAATAAATATAAATTTATAAAGCATTATCTACTGTATATCTACTATAATATAATATTTAATACAATATAATGTAAATGATATCTTACGATAATATTATTTATATATTTATACAAACTTTGGATCATTAAATTAATTGTATATTTGATATTTAATACTATTTCAGTAGATAAATGGTTTATTGTGTTAATATATATTTTTAACATTAAAACTGAATATTTTAGTTAAAAAATTATATTTAGTTAAAATAAACATCAAAGATATTAATTATCAAATCAAACATTATTTTTTGCTACTAAATGTGTTATTTTTATCACTATTATATATGCAGTATATAAATATTTACATTTAATTATATATTTAATTAATTATTATTATTTAATATTCATTGCAATATTTAATATAATTATTAACTTAAGTAATAATATATTGTATATATAGTATAATGTATTAAATGCAAACATACCAATAATTTTATTATGTGTAACAATTAAATAACCAGATTTACCAATTGTTTAATATGTAAACAATAAGAGTTATTAAATTTAATGAAAACAATATATATAAATTTATATACTGTATAAACTGTCCTTATAATAAAATATTATTAAATTGTAATTTCATAATAAATTATAAGCAGTTAAAATAATTAAGTTTTGTTAGATTTTGTTTTATAATAATAGTATAAAATTTTTAAATTACAATTGTTAGTCAAAATTGTTAAAACAGACTTATCTTAGTTTAAAACAATTAATATATTTAGTCATTTAATGTGACTATTTATATACAGTAAAAAATTAATGATTAATGAAATTAAAGGTGCAATATTTACAAAATTAATTATTTACTAATTAATAATTAAATGATTAATATTTTAAATTATTATCGAAAACGTTATTTCAAATATTAATAGAAGTTAATAAAAAAACTAATTTATAATATTATAATACATAATATAAATATAAATAGTTTACCTGTTACAATTTATAAGTTTATGCAATAAATTAAAAAATAATGTAATCAAATGCATCAATTAATTTTAATAAAAACTTATTGTATAAAATTGTTTTTTGTTTTTATCTAAAAAACACTCATTGTATATCTTCTCACATTTTATAAATAATTATAATAGAAAAAATAATTGAATAAAATCAGTTTAATAATAAGTTAAATTAAAATATATTTACTGATATTAAAATAATTTTTATCGATAACTTTAAGAGCTTTTATTGATAGCTTTTTATTATAATTATCACTACATTATCACTTAAAATCGCAAAAAAATTATTGTTATTAAAAAATCAGTATCAACTTAGTTAGCAAATGTTTTATTTTCTAATTAGACTTTGACTAAAAAATACATTTAATTAAAATTATATATAAATATATATATAACGAATAAGTATTATAATTTTAATATAAATTGGAAATATTTAATTACCAATTATAATAACATATGGACCTAAAAAATATGACATTTTTGAATATCATGTTTAAGAAAACATAATTTTTTAATAAAGACGTGTCATTTAAAATTAAATAATAATAAAAAGAATAGTTATAAAATTGTTAAATTTACGAATATATTATAAAACTCATATAAAAATGTTAAAAATGTAAAAATTAAAAACATTTATTATCCTATTATTTGATAATATCATAGTAAGTCTAACTAAAATTTAAAAGACCAAAATTCTATAAAGATTCTTAATATGACAAAAATTGTTTTTTTATTTATTCAATTAAAATAATTAAAAATAATTTTGCATTAAATTACGTAAATAATTTATAATTAAATTTTACTTAATTTCAAATCAATAAAATATATTAAGATATTAATTAATTTTTATTGTAAGTATGGAAAATATTTAGACACGTTTAATATTTTTTTTAGTTTCTCTCATGATTTTTTAATTTATTTAATCATTAACTATTATACTAAAAATATTTATAGTATTTATATTTATGTGTTATTTTAAATTTATATAAAAAAAATTACATACCATTTATGTTTATATTGTTTTATGAATTAATTATTTCACTTTTATTAAAAATAAAATTACAATATTATCTAATTTTAATTTAAATCAATAAATTATTGTAAAAATCAAAATAGTATTATTTATGTGCACTTTTGATATATTGAAAATAATGTTATATATAAATTAAAATTAAATAAATATTTATAAAAAATTTAAAAATATTATATTGTAGACACTTTACATATTAGTCATTAAGTTATATATTTGAAAATAATTTTTATAATACTATATTTTATTAATCCAAATCAAAAATTTAAAACAATAGATCAATATAATGAATCACTTTTTAATTAACTAATAAATTGTTTTCTCTTTATTTTAATACATAGAATAATGATTAAGCTAATTTTATTAAATGAAAATAATTATGTGAAATTAAATTTTCATAATGAAATAGTTAAATAATATATAATATTAATATAAAAATATTGTTTTCAATGTTAAATTATGTTAAATCATTTATAAATGATTTATAAAAAATTAATGAAAATAAACTATAATAATGTTATCGTTGAACCTCACGTCACAATAGTTGCTGACATTATCCCTGTTGAAAGCTTCTGAAGGCAGCGCCTTCATCGACATTAATGGTCGCGGATGCCGGAGCTGAGGTCTCTCCGGAAGGACTGGCCACTGGTGCCGCCGCTTTGGGCACATCGTCACCATTGGCTTGGAAACCATTTTTGCCGGCCGTGTATCTAACGATACGCTGTTTGCCGTCGGCGTCGGTAAAACCATAGGCTCCCTGAACAGTGCCGTCGGGCAAACGGGTTTCCTCTCTAAAACTGCCGCCGTCTCCCGTGTGATAACCAAACTGTTTTAATAGCAAAGTTAAAACATATACTAATTATAGTTTTAAAAAAAACTAAATTAAACATTAAATACTTTATAGTCGCCCTGAAGTTGCGGACCAATACTGGCGTAGTGTACGGGTGCGGGTCTCATGTTTTGAGAGTTTTGTGGACTTTGGTAAGTTGATGCGGGCTGAGCTGCTGGTTGAGGGGCCGCAGCTGCTGGTGGTGACCATGTGGGAGCTGATGGCTGACTTGTCCACGACTGAGAGGGAGCAGATGGTGCAGACCATGAGCTAGTAGTGGGTGGTGGAGCTGACCATGTCTGAGCTGGACGTGCGGGTGGACTGTAGACTTGGGGAGCAGGAGCTGGTGGAGACCACGACTGTGCCGGAGCTGATGGTGGAGACCATGACTGTGCCGGAGGTGATGGTGGAGACCACGACTGTGCTGGAGCTGATGGTGGAGACCATGACTGTGCCGGAGCCGCTGCTGGAGCTGGTGCTGCCTGCTGTTGCGTTTGATGGTTAACTGTAAACTGGACGTTGTTTGGCGTTCCCCAAGGATTTTGGGGCTGCGGGAGGAATGATGGATTGGCTGATAGTCCTGACTGTGCTATGGGAGCTGGTGCTGGACGGGCATAATTTGTAAGTTGAGGCGCCGCAGGCCTAGGAATACTTGAATAAGAAGGAGACGGCTGAGAGAGTCCTGAGAATCGGTTAACAGCTCCCGACCATTGAGACCACGAGGGAGATGATGGTTGCGGTGCTGAAGGAGATTGGAATCTATTATAACCGGAAAGGGCTGATAGAGTCGGTGAAGGGATGCTCGAGACAGTGGGTACTGCCGGAGCTGAGGGACGGTATGGTTGATATTGAGAATAGTTTGGAGAGGATGATTGAAAGCCCGGTCCACTGAACCAACTTCTTGTTGGACCACTTGACTGCCAACTCGGCTGTGACTGAGCTGGTCGGCCAAGTGCTTGGGCTGGACTGCCTGATTGAAAATAGTTGGGTAATTGAGCTGATGTGAAGCTCACAAACACGACTATTGATATCTATAATAAATTTTTAAAAAATAAAAAAAAATAATTATTTAATGCAAAGTTTAATTTATATAATATTATTTAAGAATATTGTAATTTTATTTTAATCATAATTATGTTATTAAAATTTATTCATTTATCAGATTAGTTAGTAAAATATTTATATAAATAAAATTATTATATATTTTATACAATATTTTAACTATTTTATCAAATATTTAATTTAGAATTTAAAAAAATTCAATTCATTAATTGAATTTATATTTTTGTAATTACAATAACTAATACATAATACATAATATATTGATATAAATTATAATAACACTCACTATTGTTGTTGACCACATTATCAAAATTAAGTTTTATAATAATTTCTTTTGATAATTAAGATTAACCACTAAAATAAATAAATAAAAATTAGTTTAGTATTTTTTAAATTATTGATAATACAAATAAATTACACAAAAGATTTTAAATATTGGTAACAGAAAGTTTTAAAAATTAAACTTTTTTAATATAAATTTAATAATAAAATTGACAATAAAAAACTTCAATTCACTGTTAAGTCCCAAAAAACAGTGAACTGAAACAAAAATGTTAGATAAAAAAATGAAACTAACGGTTTGGATCTGATGTACAATAAATTATATATACATTTATATGACTAATAAATAGTTAAATTTAAAAAAAAAATGAAATCACAACTACAACTTTTATGTTCAATGTCGATGTGAACCACAATATCTGATATTAATTATTATATATACTGTATATTAATTATATATAAAACTTAAACTTTTCAAATGAGAAAAAGTTTTTTTTGTTATTTTGTTTGTATATAATATTTAAACAAAAAGGTGAGTCCACTATCTAATAGTAATGAAATATAATATAAACTTGTTTAACATTTTTCTTGATTATTATTATTTCCTAATAACCTCGTTATCCAAAAAATTCAATTTCTCTTTCTYTCTCTCTCTCTCTCTCTCTCTCTCTCTCTCTCTCTCTCTCTCTCTCTCTCTCTCTCTCTCTCTCTCTCTCTCTCTCTCTCTCTCTCTCACTGTCTTTAGCTCAGGTATGCAACTAACTCTCCATCGCATAGCCTTCACAAGTGTTTAGAGTAAGAGTACACGCCTTGTAATTATTTTTTTAAATAGTATATTAAGAGCAATACATTTTATACAGTATACTCTACAATATATATATATATATATAATTTTATATAAAATATCAAATAATTTTTTGGTGTTAACTTTGAATTCATTTAATATTTATTAATCCTATTTTATATGACTTTTTACAAAACTGTTTTCAATAGATTTATTTTCATTTATTTTAGAAAAAAGGTTTTGGGAATTTTGAGCCAATTTTTCAATCAATTATAACATGATTTTTGAACTTATATTAACTGTATATACAGTAAAAACTTTAAAATGAAAACTTCCCATAGATTTATATGAATGTCACATACGTTTGCTTAAAGATAAAGATTATTATGTATTAATTTTTATTGTTGTTTTAAAATCAATTTCAATACATTTATTTAGATCAAGAACTTTGCAATAAATTAAACAAAAATAAATCGTATGAAAAAAGGTTTTATTAGAAAATTAAATTATTTTGTGATTTATCTTTAAATTAAATTTCTCTATATTTAATATAGTTTTATTTATTTAACAGTTTAAATTAATTTAACAAATTTTAATCAATTAAGTTTAAAATAATATTTGCATGTTATTTGAATATTAATATTTTTTTAAAATAAAAACAATTTTACTTTTATAAACAATTGATAATCGTTATTAATTTTTGTATACAAATTAATATTTATTACCATAATTGAATATAAAGTTTTTAAATAAGTAAATTAATCAAACTTTAATCAAATGTATAAATGAAACATCAATACTATTAAGTTGTGTTTCTATCAAATTTTAGTTATTTAATCCTAAACAATATATGATAACATTGATGTTTGCTGTTATATTAAATGCTGTTTTATTATACAGTTTTAAAATATTATTATTAATGAAAATACTAATTTATATGAAATCATGATTATAGACTATGTTATAGATTATTAAATAAAAAAAAATATTAATACTAACACTAAATATTATACATTAATATTATATAAGTCACAGTATATAAAAATTGAGTTGATTTCAAATACAATTTGACATAAGCTATCAATTAATACTTCCTTATTATAAATCTAAGATACAGTAGATGTCTATTTAAGTTAACATTATTTATAATAAAAAATACTATTACTATAAATGAAAAAAATAATTAAAATACACAAAAGTCTAATAATGTGCAAAATAATTTTATAGTAATAATTTAAATTATAATAATTTGAAATTATTTAAACTATAAGAAATAATCATTTTCTGACTTCATATAATAAATATTGTATTTACATTATACCAGTATTAATACAAATATTTCTAATTATTATAATTTAAATACGACACTATTTGAATTAATTTTTAAAAAATATTTAAAATAAAATTATAATTAAAATTTGTTGTTTGCAAAATAAGATTATAAGAATAGTTTAAAAATTAATTGTATAAATTTAATAACTTCAATAAATATTTAAATTTAATATTAAAAATGTAATTTTCTTTATTAATGTAATAATTAAAAACGATAAATACTTGATTAAAAGATATTTTGTAAATTGACATATTTTTCAACATTATGTAAATGGAAAATAATAAATAAAATTTATCAAGAATTTCCATATATATATATATATATATATATAATAAAAATTACTATTTAAATAATGACATTGATTTATATAACTTATGTAGAAAAAAATATTATTAATCAAATTGATAAGTTATTTGACAGTTAAATAAATGCAAATCAATTTATAATCGTTATAAAAAAGCCACATTGTTTTATTGATTGTTTATTATATTATATGAACAAATTTTAATTAATGGAATATTATATAATTTTATTTGAAATAATATTAATTATATCTTTAAAAAATTAGATCACAAATGGCTAAATTTTTAAAATAAATTTAAATCATTTTGATTGAAAGTCTAAAATAATATCAAGGTTTACTACAAATATTATAATTTATATTATTTTTACATAAAAACCTACATAATAATTATCAGTTAAACTAAATTAAATTAATATATATGATTTAAATAATTATTAATGTTAATTTATATTTTACTTATAATTAAGCATAAATGTTAAGTTTTATATAAAATCTTACATTTTAAATAAAATATATTTATTTGCAAAATTAGTTGAACTGAATTTATTTTATTTTATTTTCTTAATGCTGTAAGTAATTATAAATTATTAGTAATAAATAAACACACAAAATATCTTAAATATTTAAACTCATTCAAAACGAAATATTGTAATATAATAAAATTGTTATTATTAGAGCTAATTCTAAATATAATTCAAATATAATATAATAATTATAAATACTTTAAATAATTAATTTAATTTAATATTTCAATTTAAATAATTATTTTATTAATAATTAACTTTCAAAAAAATTTAAAAGTTCATAATTTTTCGATTATTATCTATTATATTGTTTTTGATAATTATTAAAAAATTCATAATGTGTAAATTAGTCTGATAACTAAACTAACCTTGATACTTAAATAGTAAATTTTTGTTTTATTTGTTAACACCCATTAGAATATATTGTTTCAGGGTATTTAATGAATATTTAGAATATGCACGTGTAAAATTTAATTGTGATTATAATTAACAAATAAATTGCTTTATATTGTATGACTTTGTCATTGAAATGTAAAGTTTTATGAGGTTATCCATGTTATTGACTGATTTAATTGAGATATCAAATAAGTCCATTGTTTTTATTGTTGTTTTCAATTGCAATATTAAAAACTATTAATTAATAATTATGCATTTATTTATAGTAAAATAATTGTCTATAAATAAATAACAAAATATTTAAAAAATAACATAATGAATATTTACAATTATTATTAATAATAATTTTTAATTTATAAGATTATTATTAAGATTATAAGATATATAATAATTAAAAATTTATTGTTATAGTATACTTAAAACAAATTTTTAACTATTATACCCTATATTAACACTTAAAATGCTAATACTGTATAAAAAGATTATAATATATTTTTATACCATAAATAATATTTAAGAAAATATCAATTACTTTATATTTATTAGAATATTTATTGTAGTATTATTATTAACTTTACCATGATCAACAGTGAATAATGTATTATATTGTACTAAATTGTCCATGATCATTTAATTTGTAGTGCACGACAATCACGTAAATGTTATCGTAATAATCTGAATGATAGCCAAAATTTATCTAAATATTTGGTCAAAACTTCAGTGAAAATGTTAAAAATTTCCTAATTATTATAATAATATATAAATTATTTTCTCTAATAAAATTGTTTTTCATTACTATCAATGATTTTCCACTAATATGTAATTGTGTTGATTTATTAAAATACTTAAACTAGTGTATATATATATGGGTGAGTTATATAATAAAAATATTTCAAAAATATATAATATTGCTACATATATATAATATTAATATAGAAAATATTAACAAATGCTTAAAAATAAATAAATAATTTGTATTTAGCATTTTAATCCAACATTATTGTTAAATTTATATGTATCTGTAAATATATTGTACATAAAATAGATGTTTTTATTGTTTATTGTTAACATTATTAAAACTGTGGATATAATATACAACTTGTATAATACAAGCCTTGATTTTTTCAGATGCAAATTAAATTTTATTAACAATAAATATTTTTTTTTATTAAATATATTTTGTATTAGAGCTAAATGATGGCGCCATATATTCAAATAAAAAAAATTATTTGTTACTTTAAAAACTAATAATTTTGTTATCTTTTTTGTTTCTTTAGTTATAAATATCATTTATATTTTCAAATTTATTTTTTGTTTAATTTAATTTATTACAAATTATATGCAACTTATAGTTTGAGTGAAATCCAAAATTTTATGGAAAACTTGACCTAATTATAAATATTTATATATATATTGATTTTTCTTTATTATTGCTAATTCTATAGTTCCTGGATATTGATAATAAATTTTTAAATAATTTAAATAAGATAACCACACGTATCACTAATAAATTGGCATGTTAATTTATTATTATGTTATTTAGTAATCAGATTATAAGTATAATTTTAAGAAACATTAAAAAATTATTGGCAAACATCTATACAAGCAAAATACAGGCAAAACAGTAGATATATTTTACAATATTTAATATATGAAAAATATTTGGAACTTTTAGGGCTGAGCCGGATATACCGGTATACTGTATATTACATATATATTAAGCATATCTATAAAAATATTTTGAAAAGTTATGATTTACTTTTTATATTATATGTGTATATGAATAGCATTTGGGTTAATGCCATGAGCTCTCACACACTCTCCCATTAAGTCCCAGTCAGACCACAACTCACTCATATTTATTGATATTTTAATAATAAAAGTGAAAGTTATGCCTAGATTTGGGAGAGAAAGATAAAACGGTAGTCAAACTGTTGTTAGCAATCAATATGATGTAATTGATTACATTATAAATAATCATTTATCTGCAAAAGTAATCATTATTTTAATTTTTTAAAACTATACAAACAATTGAATTATAATTTTAGAAAAATTATATATTATTTAATTTGATATGTAATATTAATGCAATAATATAATAATTATAGTACTGTAACTATCAAGCATACACATGATATATTGTATAAGATAAATAAAGTATATAATTTACATTGTGCCAATTTGTAAATATAAATTGATTATTGTTTTATAAATAGACGTTAAAGTTACTTAAAACTATAGTGATATTTAATATTATTAATAATATAGAAAATAATAACCAATTTCCGCATATTATATGAATTAAAATAATATTTATATATATATATAAAAAGCAATTTTATATTATATTTTGTTTTTATTTTAAAATATTATGTTCTGTTATATTTCTAACATTATCCAATAAATACTGTATTTATTATTCATATTATATCATTATTTATATTTAATTAATTAATTAATAAAACTAAATTTATGATTTTTAAGTAATATTATCTATAAATTAAATATTTTCATTACAATAATTTTTATTTCAATATATTGTCAAATACAATACTAAGACTCGTATTTTAAAGTTTTTAATTTATATCTTTCTTTATTAGAAAAATAAAATTTACAGAATTATCTAAAGCATAAAAGATAACCTTAACTTTAGAAACAATAAATATAAAAGCATTTAATCAGTTTTTTTAGTGTTATATTTTATAAGAAATTATATTCATATATTGCATCATTGTGTAGAAAATAAATTTTTTAAAGCTAAAGCTTAAATAAAAAAATGATTATTTTATTTATCTAATGACATAATTACTTTTATCATTAATATTCAAACAAAATATCAAATAGTTTATTATTTATTTTAAAAAAAAAATATATTCATTTAGAATTTATATTATTTTATTAAACATACAAAAATATGGCATTAGACTTTTTAATATTATTTATAGCATATATAATTAAATTAATAATAATATTATTTACAATAAACTATTGTATTAAATTTAATATTTATAATAGTTGTTCTTTTAAAAGTAATTTTTAAAAAGCATTATAATTTATAATAATATACAGTAAATATTAAATCTTATGTATAAAACACATATTTGGATATTTATTATAACTTTAATTGTGCCAAATAACACACACACCGTTTGGAAAGAAAGTAGTATTAAATAACTGGATTTGATGGACACCCTAAAGGCCACTCCCTGTCCGTTAAAAAAAAGCTACTGTATTGCCGCATAATAAATGCATTATTGACTTGAATTTAAATTAAATTTATTTAACTTTTTTTATTTATTATGAATAGTGTCTCTATTTTTTTGTATAATTATATTACATAAAACATTTATATATACAGTATATATATATATATATATATATATATATATATATATATATTTATAATACATATAAGGAAGTTATATTAAAATTCTTATAATATTATAGTTTAGGAAAAGTGTTAACCGACAAGTCCTACAAATATATTGATGTATTAATATATTATATAAAATATTTGCAGAATTTTCATTTCATTTGACGACCGCCAGCACTGGTAGATAACAGTGACTATATGTCCCAAACTGTTGTTAGTATTTAAAGTGAAGCATTTAGTTGTAAAAAGAAATTTTATTTAATTTTTCACTTTTTCTGGACGATTAGTGTCCCAACAATTAGTTTCTTATAATAAGTGAATTTGTTTGTTATATAATAGCAGTTTAATTTTATATTTAAAAAATGTTTCTCAAATTAGTAAGTACAAATTAATATTTTTAATTATTAGTAAATGTTAATTATTATTTTATTATTAATAATTAATTTTTATTTTAATTATAATTTTATTGAATATTCTATATTGCTAGAAAATATAAATTTAAAAAACATTTTATATTTAATCAAATTATTAAATGAATTGTTTTATCTCAATTTAATTATTTAATAACATTAAATAATTATTATGTAAATATTCATATATAATACTTACTAATCTTACTTTAAAAATTTTCATTTAAATTATTATGTAAACTGTAAAAATATTAATAACAAATTATTAAAATTTTTAAAAGTTTATGATTTAAAATATAAACAATTTTATATAAAATTAAATAAAATTGTAAGAATCATTGACTACTTAATTAAAAAAAATAATTTTAATTAATAAATAATTTATTTATATTTAAACAGTTATTGTGTTTATCATTAACGGTGACAGTCTATTGTCAATTTCCTTCAAACACATTAAGTACAACACCGTCACCACATCCACCCGCACAGGTTCACTACGTTAACATTGGAGCCGATTTGGCCGGGGATTACAAGGTATGTCATAGTTATTCAAGGGTTGATTATCATGAATATACTGTGTTGTCATATCTATGAGAACACAGTTATCTATTATATTAAAAAAAATCATTTTTAATAATAATACTAATACTAATAGATAACTAATTATTGTCAACGGCATGTGTTTTCCCCCAAAACATAAAATAAAAATAAAATTAATACATTATTGCCTCAAAAAATATAACAAATAAAATTTTAAGATAACAAACAAATTTAATTTGAAAATGTTGTGATAAAAAATATGTATTGATTTTTTAATTATTCAATTTTTTATATCTTTAGGCAAAATGAGTTATGCAAACAAAATTTTTGGTTTCATAATTAATTAATTTCTTTCAAATTATTAGATTTGAAGTAAAAGTGTTACAAAATTTTGTTTTGTTATTCAATTGATATTTTTTATTGATTATATTTTATACATAAATCTAGAATTTCGTACAAAATTTGTATTCAAATATATCCGATAACCAAATCGTTTAGTTAAAGATACAAATATTTTTTTATCACTTAAAGCAATGTTTATTAATTTTTTATTTATTCAGTATTTATTTATTCATTATTTATTTATTCATTATTTATTTTTTAATTAATAAAAAAGTGATAAAATTGCATAAATTTTATTATGAAATCCAATTTATTTGTTTGACATGTAAACAATTAGCTATTGAATATAATATTTTTAAAATTATTTTTACTAAATAATAGTCATACAAATAACAAATAAACAAAATATTTTATAAGAAAAAACTAATTAAATAAAAGTTTATAAATTAAAATTTTATAATAAATTTTTTTAATTATAATAATATGTTTATTAATAATTAGAAATAACATTTAAATTAATGAATAACATATAAACAAAAATAATAAATTGTTTTTACTATCAGTTTGGTTACGACACCGGCAAAGGTCCGTCAGGTCAGAGTTTCCGAGAGGAGACTCGTGGAGCTGATGGCACAGTTAGAGGAGCTTATGGTTATACCGATGCCAATGGTCAGCAACGTATTGTGAAATACTCGGCAGGAAAAGAGGGTTTCAAAATTGAAGACGACTCGCCAGCCGGCGGATCGGCTCCGCGATCAGCACCGGCACCAACCGCTGCTCCATACCGTCCACCACAAACTCTACCCCCACAGATTTACAGACCGGCACCGTCACAACAATTGGCACCACAATCCTATTCCAGACCCGCCTCGAGTTCATCCGATGGCGGATACCTTGAGTTGAATGTCCGTCCAATGACCCAATCATCGTATCGTCCGTCGACTCAAACCTTGCGGCAAGTGTTACCATCGCAGGGCTATAACAGTGGCAGTCTATCATCTCTGTCCTCTCCCTCGTCTTACTCAAACCCATCGTCTTACTCGAGCCCTTCGTCTTACTCGTCATCCCTGTCCTCAAACAGTGGCAATTCTTATCAATCATCTCAGCCAACCCTACAAACATACCGATCGCCAGCACAAGTAGTCCGACCGGCATCTGCTCCTTCAATGAATTCTCAGCCCGTATTGAGACAATACGCAAGTTTGGCGACCACTCCCCGACCCGAGGAGGAGACATGGGGTCCACCCGTTATTAACACTGCTTTACTCAACTATAATATAGGCTCTCAGGGGTAAACACATAGCAATAGTTTTGTTGTGCCGTTTATTTAAATTGCATGCATAGAGTGTTTGTGTGTTAGATATATAAATAATAATTAATAATAAATAATTTACTATAAAAAATATTTTATATTCAAACAACAAATTTTAATATAACAGTTTATAGTAAATAATTAATATTTTTTCAAATTTATTTGCATTTATAAATAAATTGTTAAGATATTTAAATCGATTGAAATAAACATTATTATTATTTTTTTGTTTAATTAGTGTAAAAACATTTTTTTAAAAAATTATTTGTTTAATTTCCTATATGTGCTATTATAAACATAATTATATATTTAATTTATAACAATTTTATATAATTTGTTTTATTTTTATGACAACTTATCAGACATAAATCGATATTAGTTTTGAGTTATATTTTTTTAATTAATATGTTAACCAAACCGGAAATTATTAAATTTTAAAACATTTTTTTTATTGATAATCTATATAATTATTGATTAATGTGGATTAAATTTCCACACAATTTTATGTTTCATTTATTTATAAACAAAACAAAAAAAAACAAATTTTATTAACAAATTGATTAATAATTAATCTATAGTTAAAAATAAGAAACATAATTTATAAAACGTGTTTTCAAATTTCATGTTAACTTTATTATTATTTAATATTACTACTAATAACTTATGTTATAATAATAATAATACTTAGTTTTAAAAAAATTTATTATTTATAAATAGAGGTCAACCTGTATCTCGTCTGAGCTATGCATCCAGTTCCTCATCTGAGTCATATCAAGTACCGGCACCATTTGTATCACGACAATCAGCACCAGTAGCCTATCGTACTAATGCTCCCGTAACTAACATTCCCGTTAACCGCGATTGGGATACTCCTATATTGAGATCTTATACTAATTTAAACGATGGTTCAGCCAAACCTCTGGAAAACTGGGGTCCGCCGGTCATCAATACGGCTTTACTTAACTATGATATCGGTTCACAAATTAATAGAGGCTAATGTCTAACATGTTTTTAACTATATTATAACCGCACAATTTAATATAATTTGTAAACAGTTAACTAAAATAAATTGTAAATAATAATACTAAAAATAACCTCAAATTTTCTAATCCTTAATACGCATAAAAATACTATTATTTTTGATTTTTAATTTGATTTATATCTTGTCAATCAATGAATTGTATTATAAATATTGTTTTTTATAAATGAATTTACAACTAATGTTATAAAACATTATTTGCTTTGTATGAACAATGTATGTCCACTTATATTGACTTTAATTTGCAAAATATATAAAATAAAATTGTATGCAATTGCAATATAATTTTAAATAAAAATATTAAAAATACAATATTAAATAAATATCTATTTAATAAAATAGACTTATAAAATTATAATTTAATATTTTATTATCATATATTAAAATAAAAAACAAAAATTGTTTATTTAATTGTGTTAAAATAAACAAAAGTTAATTTTAAATAAAATATAAATAGAAAATGAAATATATTTAGTTTTATTTATATCACAAATTAACTTAATTTATTTATTTCTAATCAGTCATTATTAATTAGTGTTGATTATAATTGATTATTAATGTATAAATAAACATAAATTTAGCACTAAATTTTGTAATTTAAAACATTATTTTTTCTATATTATGCAAAATTGTTTGAAATTCTCATTGTATCACATTATACTTTTTTAAGAGAGAGAGAGAGAGAGAGAGAGAGAGAGAGAGAGAGCTATTAATGCTATTAATTACAATTATCGGGTCAACGAAACTTTTGATTTAAAAGTGACCAAGAGCAAAGTTGTAGATAATTTTAAACTAAATAATATTTTCATTGGTCATTTTTAATTAATTATATGATTGGCTCAATATAATTGCCGTAGACTATTATTTTTAAAATTTATCTACGGTCTAATGTAAATTATCTGACCAATCAATACAATCTTATTTAGTTTAAAATTATCTACAACATTGTCCTTGGTCACTTTTAAATCAAACATATTATTGACCCGATAATTGTAATTAATAGCATCGCCGCCGCTGTTTAAGACTATTTGCATTTAAAAAAATAATAATTATCAAACTGTAAAGTCAATAAAAATAATAATTATTATTATGTATGAAATCATATAATACTATAATAATCGCTCACAAGTGGTCTAACATAAGAATTTTAGAAATAGAAAAAAGTAGTAATTATGAGATCACTTTCTGAGCGATTTTTGCATAAATTTGTTTTTAAAATAATAATAAAAAGTATTAAACATTTAATTTATTATCGAAACAATTTTTGTTAGTCTGTTGTTAGTATAAAACTAATAATTAGTAAATCAAAAAGTTAATTATGTATTTAAAAATAAATGGTCGTATATTATCTCATTAATAATAATTTTTAATTATTATTATTATTATTATTACTACTACTACTTTTACTACTACTACTAACCTTTAAGCTATATTAAGCTTATAATTAGTTTCAATGAGATTTTCGGACCACTTTATTAAATAAAAAAATCTGTTGTCTATATTTAGGTAAACTTTACACTTATTAATAGTTTACAGTTTTTACAACATTAGACTTTAATAATCCATTATAATTATGCTTAAACAGAATAAAATCTTATTGTTATAAATTAATAATTTTTTTTATACATGTGTAAATATAATACTTTCAAAAGATAATTATTTATTTTTTATATAAATTTTAATATTATAACTTTGTCATAACTAAAGTCATAAAAAATTTGGATAATTTTTAATCAAAAAAAATGGTCGTTAAATATCTCATTAAGTATACTTTGTTAGACTTATGTCAAATAATATACAGCAAACTGTTTAAATATGACATTAATAATAATAATAATAATAATAATAATAATATCAAGCAATTGTATATTAAATAGTTTTAATATAATGATTTTCTAATGAGATTTTCGGACCACAATATTATATATAAATATTAAAATTTATATATACTACTAGATTTTATATTAATTAATGATTTACAGTTTGTAACATTTAGTTGTAATAAATAATAAAGTTTTTTTTGACAAATTTTATAGTATATAAGCAAATTATTTTTATAAAAGTTATAATTAATTAATTTGAAACAAAGAAATACTGTATATTTGTTTCAAATGACAATTATGTAATTAATAAATGCTTTTTAATATTTATTTTTTAAATCAATATTTTTTAAAAGAAAATAAAATTTATTGGATTTGCGCTGTATTTTGGTTTTACTTATTTAAAAAAAACTATTAATGGCTTTTATAAAAAGTACCAATTGATATAATTAAAAATAATTTAATAAAATTCATGCGATAAATAAGAAAACATAAGACATTGTATTTTCTATTGTATTTTTAAAATTTTGCAAAAACAACAAAAATTTTATATACTTTATAACTTCTCTATAAATAACTGTTTAATATATAACATAAATAACAATAATATTTCTTTAAACTTTTGTTTACAAAAATAAAAATTTGTTTACACAATATATTAATGTAAAATATAGTCTTAATAAGTATCTCATTGTCTTATAAATCATATTTGATTATAAAATTTATGCTATTAATAAATCTATTAATTTTTTACAATAACAGCTAATAGTGTACTATAAATATTTGTTTAATCATATATTCTAGTAATTAATTATAACAATATGTCAATCATAGCTATAATTATTTCATTTATAATTTACAGTATATTCTATTTATTTTAGATAAATATAGTTTAGTATTTGTAATTTAGTACTAATAACAATAAAAATTTATTGAAAATTATAATTCCGTGAAATACTTATTTTTTCTAGTATTTTAAAGAAAAAAATATTTTATATTAAATTAAAAAATTGAAAAACTAAAATATTTAGCATAAAATTTCATTTAATAATAACTGTGAATTCAATAAATTTAAAAATACTATTTGACAATACCATTCAATATACAATTTTAATATAAAATGTATTTTGCAAACATAATAATATAATCTATGAGTTATTATTCAATAGATGGTTATGGAGTGAAAATAGATTTCCTGGGAATTTCCATGGAAGATAAAATTTATAAAATATTTGGAAATTAAACAAAAGAGGAAATTTACCAGAATTTTGTTTGTAATAAAAACTTTTGTATACTAGAAAATAAACCAAAATGAATATATATTAAAGTTAATTGTTTTAATTGTTTAATAAAGTATATGAAATAAATTGATTTTTTTTGTAAAAATATTAATTAAGTACTACTATATTTAAAAATTATATATTGTTTAATAATAAGATTGATATATATATATATATATAATGTTTCATTTAGTGTTCATTAGTAATAATTAGAATAAATTTATTGATTTTTTCTATTCATATCATACAATAACTATAGAAATATTTTATTATACAATATTTAAATAAAATTGCTTTTATAATTAACTATTACTACTGTATATGTTGTTTATAATAATATCAAATATATTATATTATAATATTTATAAAAATTAATGCTATTATTTAATTCATACAAATAATTCCCACGTTATACACAGTATATACTATTACATCTGTTAAGATATAAATTTTTAAAACTAAATTTATTTATCATAAAAACATTGCAATTAAATATAATATTAAAACTTTATAAAGTAATTACATTACAAAACCTCCGTTATGATACTAATATGATAATAATTTAATAATAATAGTTAGTAAAATAAATTTAATACTAAAATACATTGATAATATAATTATTATTAGTTATTTACTAATTTAAATAATTAACATTATCTAATAAATTAGCTAAAAATACTGCAATTTAATTTTTTTAATTAAGTTAATCTTAAAACTATCATGAATACTATTTTTAGACTAAATAACAAAAATTATTACGAGATTCGGCCAACAATTGAAAAATGTGAAAAATTATTATATTTATTTGGGATATCTATCACAACTAGCATGGACAATTATTTATTCAATAAACCTAATAGAAATCGATATATAATTGTAATGATTGTTGATTTAATTCTGCTTGTTAATTCAATTAAATATGCTATAATATTTATGTTCAATAATGTGAGTATTGTATGATATATAGACAAAAATATTGAATTTTGTATTTATCTTAAATTAATATAAATACTTATATTATTATAGCAATCAGTTTGTGACTTATTAGGTGATCCAACCTATCAATTGTCAAATATTAAACTAATGGCTTCTCTCGTCAGTATATTTTCATTTGCTTGTTATTACATCAGATCTTTAATTCATTATTACGAGTGGACACACAAATTGTATTTTTTGCGATATATCTATGAAGTTAAATACAATTGTTTAAGATATGGATTAAACAAACGAGAATTGAGACAATTAGTTTATAAATCAAATTTAATTATGAATTTTATAATAATTCCATTAATTATAATCTCGATTATGACTAATATTGCATTTATACTTTACGCATATATACTTGTAATTATTGATGAAAACTCAAATATGCAAATTTTAATAGCAATTGTTTCAATGATAATAAATTTAGTATTTTATATTGAAACATATAGTTTAGTATATATTGGAAATTTAATGTTAACAGCAATAATTATGTTTGCAAAATTAAAATTTCGGGAAATCTATAATCGTATGTCTCATACAATTAACTCGTCTAATAAATGGCTTAAATATAATACATTAAAAGTAATGATTGATGTGAGAGAGCATAGAAATTTGTGTAAAATAATCTATGATTTTAATAGATTATTTAAATACATAGTATTTGTCATATATTTTATTGTAACGCCCGGTATATTGCTATCTCTGTACACATCATTTCATAGCGATAGCTCATTATTCACATCAATATATTTTGTATTTATATTGACTGCATGTTTGTCTTTAATAGTAAGTTTGAATATAATGTGTACTCGGATTAGTAAAGAGGCTCATAAACCACGTAAGCTATTACATAGATATCTTGTAAGAAATACTGCAATTTCACTACATATGCGATACAAACTGCTTATGTATGTCGAGTACCTCTCGGGTCCCACTATTGGCATATATTGTTTGAATTTATTTCCAATGAATAGTTGGGAATTATATCAATATTTATCAATATTTGGTCGACGATTCATACTATTAATGAAATCTGTATAATTTTAATGGTTTAAAAAATAAAATTAGTTATTTAGATAATTAATAACAAAAAGTTTTTAAAACTTGTATTGATTATGTACTCTAATATCATAAAATATGACATTTCATTATAAATTTTTTAATTTGCTTATAAATTCTACTATTAATTAAGTGTTTAAATATTATTTTAAGCAGTAATTAATTTAAGTTAATTTATAAATATTTTATAGTTATATGAATATAATAAAATTCCTCCTATTATTTTGTATATTGTATAACATTATATTGCTTTCTAATGAAGTTTGTAATTAATCAATACAACTTATAATATTAAAATAGAAAAACTATAAAAATTGTATTTAATTCAAAATAATTATTTAAATAAATGAATAATTTTGTTTAATTAAAAGGAATATTACATTTAAGTAAAATTATATTTAAAATTAAAAGTCTATAAAATATAATTTATTAATTTGTAAATAGATTGTAAAGTTAATTAAAAACTAATTTAATAATTTATTTTTTATATAATATCCATTTTACAAATCAATTAATATTAAACTTTAACTAATAGTAATATTATTTAAATGTTACAAACTGTAAATTTCTAAATACTTTAAAATCTAATGGAATATATAGATAAACTTTACATTAAAATTATAAGGTTGTCCGAAAATCTCATTAGAAATTTTAAGCTTAATTTGTTTAATCATAATCACTGTTTTTGATAATATATTTGTGTTATTATTGAAATTTGTCTAAATATACAGAGGAAGAGAATACAGAAAGAAAGAAAGAAAGAAAGAGAAAGAAAGAAAGAAAAAAGAGAGAGAGAGAGAGAGAGAGAGAGAGAGAGAAATGTTTAATAAAAATGGATATTCAATGAGATGATAAACGACAGTTTTTTTAAAAATAAATAAATTATTGATAATATAAATATATAAAATTATATCTACTAAATTAAGTAATATATAGAATATATTAATTTATAAAATGTAAAAATAATTATTTAAACAAATGTTTATTTTATTTAATAAAGTACTAAGAAATAATTGTAATCTATTTTATTGATTATTATTTGATTTTATAATATTTTATTTATAAACATAATGTATATAATTTGTTTAACAGTAATTTCAAACAATTATATTAAAATCATTACTGAGGGGTAAGTCCGCCTGCATTATACACCAAACCTCCGTCGACTACCAGATTAGCGCTGGTCACAAAACTAGCCTCACTAGAGGCCAGGTATGTGACAGCGTTGGCGATATCAATGGGTTGGCCCGGCCTTTTCAATGGTGTTCTTTCAATAACTTCTTTTAATAGTTTAGTTATATCGTGTGGATCGGTACCATTGGGTGTCGAATGACCCATAAAGTTAGTTAATATTAAACCGGGACTATTAATAGCAAATATTTAGAAAAAACACAAATTATTAAAACAACATAAATTTTATATTTTCAAAAATAATTATAATTAAATTAAATTTTATGATTTTAAATACTTAATAGTGTTGACTCGGATTTTAGGTCCCAACTCCATGGCTAGTGTACGACCCATCATATCGACACCGATTTTGGCCACTTCATAGGGTAGTCCTAATGGAGTCTAAATAAATCAAATTAAAAAAATACTTCAAATTATTTAATATTCTATAAATTTTGAATTAAATAAAAGTTAAGAACTTGAAGTCAATATATGAAAAAAATGTTATCAATTTACGGGAACCATTGATGAAATACTGGAAATGCTAATAATTGTACCATTAGTTGCATCTAAATAAGGTATTGCTAAATGACTGAGCTCTGCATACGATCTCAGATTCAACAGTATTGCTCTATCGAATACTTTCATAAAATCTGGAGCCCTGGCACTGGTATAAGTACCGGCACCGGCATTGTTGACTAAAACATCAAGTTTTCCAAATTGTTTTATTGTTTCATTCAAAAGTCCCGATAAATCATTGCTTTTAGTCACATCGGCCAACACGGCTAACGGCTATTAATAATAATAAAAAAAATAATATTTAATAAAAAATATTTATAATATATTTTTAGTTTAAGGGGTTTTGTTTAACCTGTAGTTTAAGGGGTGATAGTGCCTGTGTCTCAGTGGTCACGCGTTTTAGTTCAGTAGCATTCCGACCGGTGATGACTACGTGTGCACCAAAATGCGAAAACAATTTGACTATACCTTCACCGATACCCGATGTCGAGCCGGTTACCAGTACTACCTTTCCCGTGAAGTTACGAGTTTGGCCAACATTTCGATAGACATCGTCTTTATCGGCACTGTTTAAGTTTGCAAACAATAATATAACAGTTATTGTTAGCAAATAATATAAACTGAAAATATAGTTCATATTTGTTTAGAAAGTGTTTAGATAATTATGTTTAAACAATTATTTAAGTTTTAACAATATATTGCTTATTAAACAACTATTTATATATTTTTTATTTTTAAATTATTATCAATAAAAATAAAATATTGTTATATTGATTATTATTCTAATATGACAATTAAATTGATATCTATATCTAATGATTAAATACTATATATAATAATATATTTTATATACAATATAGTATTTATTATTAAAACTTAATAAACTGTATATTATTTATAATAAATCATATAACCTTGGTGTAAGTGTAAAAAACTTGAATATATCAACTTATTTTATAAAAACATATTATTAGTTATTAGTAATATAAGTTGTTCTTAGATATAAAAATCAACTATATAGTTTAGAGTATAATTTGAACTAGCAAATTATTAACTATTGGGTGCATATGTACACAAAACAAACTTAATTTAAAATAAATTATTATTATGAAAATATTTTATATTTAGAAATATTGCACTAAAATTTAGCAATAAATTAATTAACAAATAAATATAAAATCAATATATTTGCTAATAATAGCAAATATTCACTTTCTGTAACTTTATTACTTTTCAATAACTGCTGACTATTTTATGGGTCAATCTATTGTCTCAAATCCCTATATAAGGTATAGCACTGACCATACCTTTGATGCTTCGATATACCAGTGCTTACAACTGCAACATATAAAATAAAATTCATATTAAAATAAAACTCATATCAAAAATAGAATTAGTTATTAATCTATTGGTGCGATAAATGTTAAAATGCTTTAAGACTCAACTAATGTTTTACATAAATTATATTAAACTGTATGATATATTTTTATATAATTTAATTATAACATAATTGTATTATAGATATAAAATGTTATAGTATAATGATTTTAGCTCTAAATAAAATAACACATAAAAAATATTAAAAAAATTATATTAAAAGTTATTATATTATTCGTTGGCTTAAATCTATATTATAGACAGCCAGTAAAAAAGTATTGTTTTTATGCATTTATACATATATAAAATGTTAGTTTTATTATTAATTATTATTTAGTTAGGTTAGTTTGGGGTGAGTATGAATTAGGAAGTGGTTGGGTGGGTGGAGATGGGTTTGGGGCAAATAATTTTCTACTGACTGTCTATAATATAGATTTGTTCCAACTGTCATTTATTACGTAAACATAACGGATCACAACTGTACCAATGATTTGCAGCCATCACTAGACACATGTATGGACAACGCACGGGATAGTTGGGAATTTCCGGGAACTGGATTTTGTAGCAAATCTGGAATTAAATGAATGCGTTTTTTGTTGCGCGCTCTGGGATTACATGCTTTGCGTGATTAAAAAAGCGCGTGAAGTGTACAGAATCGAGGAACTGGATGTAGTAATGCAGTTGACCATTGATATACAGAACAAGTATGAAAACTAATGGTCCGTTGACTTTATCCGCAACGATATGCTATTTGTGTGTCATGTGCTGTGATATGAACTGATGTTCATAATAATCGGCGACTGGATATCATTGTTGTGGTGGCAAACCTTAACTATAATAATTGTTATCAAACAACAAAACTTCATAATTGTGCATGTTTATTTGTAATATTTTTAGTATATATTTTTTAGTGTATTTAGTATTTAAATAATTTGTTAAATTATTTCAAATATATTTAAACATTTGCTGTCATAGTATAGTCATACAGTGTATATACCTGTAGTTTATGCATAGTTTTTATAATTTGCATTTAAAAATTAATGTTAAATATACAGAAACATTTATTTAATGTTATAAATTATTACTTATGACAATGTTTAATGAGTACATTATATAACTATTGTACTATTTTAGTAATTAATAAATATTTAGCTATAAATTAAAGCTATTTTAGTAATTTATCTAATATTGATATAAATGCGTACAGTTGGTATAAATTAATGATAAAATAATATTTTATATTGTTTTTTGATCTCAATAATTAATAAATGGTTACTCACTTATAGATAAAATACATTATTTAAAGTACTAAGATTTTATAATAACATATATGTAAAATTATTATTCTTAATTAATTGTAATACAATAATATCTTTATTTATTATCAATTGATAATTGTCATGTTTTACTTATTAGTGATAACTTATATGTATAAATATTATACGCTCTTTAGATATTATTTAATTATTTTTTTCATTTCATATTAAAGTAATTCAATAAAAATATTTAATTTAAACAAATCAATTATGTATTCAATGATCACATTTTTATTATTAATAGTATGTAAGTATCATATTATTTATTGTTGTCTTTTTAAAATTATTTTTAAAAATTAATATTGTAATTACTAATTAAAGAGAAAGTTTTTTAAAAAATAAATTTATTAATAATTATACTTATAATATTAATTTTAATTATATTAAATTAATCTAGCAATTTATTGTATGCCTCCCGGTGCCATCGACAACAATGTTGATAAGGAACAACTGTTGAAAACATTACAGGATCTGCACTTTGATGTCTGGGATACAGAGGGAGGCTGGAAATGGGACTGTCCTGACTGTAAATTTCCACAATTAGATACCCTGTTGACTACAATGGACACTATGATAAACAATACGAAAAAAGCTGACCCTGGTACAAAGGATGGTCAACAACAATTGGAACAAATTGATAAACAATTACCCGATTTGAAAGAAAAAATTAAACAAGGTCTAAAAGAGGGGGCCACCACAATGGCCAATGTCAACAAAGATAGGTTATCAAAAATTTCTGGATACACTCATAGTGTGGAAACCAATATGAAAAAAGTGGAAGAACTGGTTGGCAGAGCATCGGTAGATAAGTTGGCCCAACTCAGCACAAAACGGTTGGATAATATGTATAGTCAACTGTATACTGATAATGCATTAGTTGAAAATATTATCAAGTTTTTGGAAGAAAAATAAATTAAATATTTTATCAAAAATATTATTTAAAAATGTAATTAATTAAATGTTATTTAAATAAATTGCTATAGATTATAAAATTAAATATATTATAAAATAATTTTTTAAAAATTTTCTATATTTATTTTTAAATAAACGTTTATTTATTAGTTTACTAAAATATAAATATAATCATTTATGATAATTATAAATATTAAAACATAATAATATATATTGCATATATATTATAGTTTTGTAGTTTATATTATATAATTGGTTAGTACAGGACAGCCCATGATGGCCATACCACACCCCTCTAAAGGTTTATATAAGAGTCAACCGAACCCTACTATGTCTCTTGGTTTTATGTGTCACTTAGTTTTACTCTGACACTTGGGTTATGTATACTTAGTTTATATATGAGTTCCCTGTGCCCAGTCTCTTAGACTGAGGATTCTCTTAGTTTTTACTCAACATGTATTCTACTTAGTGTTTTACATTTGTTAACTAATATTAATAATCAACAATAAAGTTTATATTATTATACAATTTAATTGTGCTTTAATAAACAATTCATACAACTATACTGGTGCTGGTGAGTGGGTGGCGCACAAAACGCTACCACCGACTATATCGGCCAAATCGGCCGATCATTGGTTTCAACAACTGGACGCGATTGGCGAGTGCTCTACCTTAATGACCAGTTGGACGGCCGGTGCAGCCTTCAGAAGCCGCTAACCCGAGTTCAGCGCAGCGCTTGTATAACACATATATCGATTAAAAATATATGTTATGCTGTATTTGGTGGAGATCGCAGTGGTATCGATTTTAAAAGTACTCTCGTAATACTATACATCATGGACTGGTATACATTATTAATTTATCTTTTATTAATTATTTTATTAAAGAAATTATGTATCAACTGATCCCTATTTTTTATATGTTTACTATTAATTGCGAAAAAATGCTATTTTATATATAAGTGTTAGTATTAGTGTTTTAAAAGTCCTATAATCTTAAAAATCTCGATAATTAGAAAAAAAATTTTTTTTAAATAGTTTAAAATACAGCATATGTTTTATTGTCTAAAATACGAAAATTCTTTTATTTGCTAAAAAATTCAAATGCTTCTAAAATTTAATGGGTTTTTTGCTTTCAAACTGCAATTATTTTGTAATTTTCACACACATTAACACATATCCTTCTTATAATATAGTAAAGTTAAATGTTAAAAAAGCAATAAAATTCAAAATAACTGCTTCAAAAAATTACTGTATAACTATTCAATAGCAATAAAAATGCTACGAAAAGCTTGCTCTCGTTATACATCACAGTCACTCACTAGAAGTGAAACCAATCCTATAGCTAATACTGAAAGACAAAATTATAATGAGAACACAGTAACAGATGTTTTCACAACAGAAAACAACACTAATATCAATAAATCTCTCAAAACTGAACAAAATAAGCCATTATTTCAAATTAATGACCAAAATTTGGGTAATTATGTCAATTCCCAAATAGGGCAAAATGGCCAAAGCAGTCAATCTAGCCCACAAATTGAAAGCAATAATAATAATTGCCAAAATATTTCTATGAGAACAAATTTATTTACTTTAAACAAAAATTTAAATAATGTTACAAATGTTACCAATAGTACAGAACAGTCTAAACCCAAAATTGAATTTAGATCCATAATTACTGTAGGATCAATTACACCCCAACCAATTGATGGTAACAGTCATATTGATGACTATATTTATATCAGTAAAAGCAATAACTGCACTAATGATATAAGAAAGCTTAGATTACCAGATCACATAAAAGTTATTACAGAAATGGGGTACAAATATTTTACAAAACAGAGTAATGAAAGTAATTGTAAGGAAAAACTGTATAACGGTAATCCTCAAACGGCAGTTATCTATAAGTCAACTGATTTGACCAATATTGCCAAACAGGCCAATGCTGCCAAAACTGATACAGAATCAGAGATATTAAAATTATGTGAATTAGTGATAAGCTTTATTATCACTAAAAGTAATTGTAATTACAGCAATAAAAATCCAATTAACTAGTGATACTTCAGTCATCACTAATGCCGTCGTTATTATCACTATTAAAGACAAACTAAAGTTTTGAGGCTAATTAAATAATATAACTAAAATTATATATAATACTTAATCACTTATAATTATAAAAAAAATTCTGATATCTCACTTTTTAAAGTATTCTAATTGACATTTATATTAAATTTGTAAACAATATTTAATTATTTAAATATTAAACAAACTTATTTGTACTTCTATTTTATTAAAATGTGAATGTTTTGCCAAATTGGCCAAAACGGCCAAATCTGTTATAAAAAGTTAAAACTAAATATAAAAACAGGTAATTTATAAAATGTAAAAAAACCACAAATTTAAATAAGAAAGAAAATTAAAATGATAATATTTTTAAAAAGTAATTTAATTTTATAGGTACTGTTGTTTAATAAACAATTTTAGAAATGTTGAATGATAAAAATATGAGTATTGCCTAATACTATTTGTGAGACATTTAGCGTTATAGTCTGCACAATATAGGAAATAAAATAATTGCATGCAAAATAAAGTGAAAATAATGTTAAAATGATAAAATAATATGTTAAAATAAAGAATAATAGATTAGCTAAGATATAATTTAAAATAAAAATTATATGTATATGATTGAATGAATGTTAAAAATGATTAATCAATAATAAATAAATAAAAATATAAATCTAAATATGCGCAATTGTGTTCGGCTAATCAAATAAAATAAAAGAAAGTTTGAATAAATGTAAATGATTGTATAAGAAAAATACAAAAAGGCAATTTTAATTTAAAGTTTTACAAGATAGTTTATGTTTAATGGACATTTGGGTCAATTTTATCAGATCGGCCAATTTGATCAAATTGTCGTAAATAGCCCTAACATAAATAGTCGATTTAATTTTGAATTAGAGTAAATATTGAATAATATTTACTTAGAATAAATACAGCCTGGCTCATCATGTATTATCTTTTTAAAATAACGATAACTCAAAAACTACTAATTATATTTTATTCAAACAAAAAATATTATAAAGTATGATAATTGGCGTTACATATTTTAATGGATTAAGTTTTCAAAATGGCCGCCATTAATAGCAATTAAATGGCGAAGTCGGGTGTCGAAATTTGATGCCACCCGCACTAACATGTCCTGCGGTATGGCCTGTATCTCACTTTCAATAACTTGTGTGAGTTGTTCAATAGATTGAGGGTTAGAAACATAAACCCTATCCTTGAGATAACCCCATAAAAAATAATCACATGGGTTGAGATCGGGTGAATACGGTGGCCATTCAATACCACCACCAGTCTTCTTGGGCGCATCCAGGCCGATAATTCGGTTACCAAAACACTCTTTAAGTATGTCAAAAACATCTTGCGTTCGGTGTGGTCTTGCACCATCTTGTTGGAACCAATATCCGTCAACCAAATCTTTATCTTTAGCAGATCCAATGAACTGTTGTATAATTTGTGTCTTGTATATCTCTGATGTCACATTTTGTCTTAAAAATATTGGACCAATAATTTCTTTTGCACTGATAGCACACCACACGGTGTCACGTTGTGGATGAAGTGGACGAGCGATCGTCAAATGGGGGTTCTCAGTACCCCAGTGGCGCATGTTTTGTTTGTTGACATAGCCAGACAACCAAAAATGACATTCATCTGAGAAATGTACAGTATTGACATCAAATTCACGTAAGTCAATTAATGCTGTCACTTGATTTGCGAAATCCAATCGTTGACTTAAGTTGACTTCTCTTAATTGATGAGTAATTTGAATTTTATATGGGAACAGATCCAAGTGATTCTTCATAATTCTCTGCAAACTTGATCTGGATATACCCAATACTTGTGATGCCCGCCGTTGTGATGTTGTCGGCTGATTTTCGTATAATTGTTTGACGCGTTCAATGTTGTCCTCTGTAACCACTGGTGACTCTCTTGTTGTGGTATACGTCAAATCGTCAAGAACACTACCAGTTCTCTCAAATTTATCGATAATACTGAAAATTAACATAAAGTGTTTTAGTTAAAATTTGATAATAAAAATCCCAAAAAAATGTTTATTTTAAAATGACTATAACTTACCATTTCACAGTTCTTCCGGTGATTGTTAAATGTTTGCCATATTTGTACTTAAATGCTTTGACGGTTGCCTCATAACTGCAAACTTTCGAGTAAAAGATACGGACAATATCGACTCTTTGTTCAGTTGAATATGTGGTGCGTGCCGACGCCATTTTGAGACTCAGATATTTTTAAAAACAATAACAAACAAAAAGCCAACTACCCCTCACCCCATCTACCGTAAAAAAATTTTACATTAATTTAAAATATAGAAATAGCGCTATTTTTAAAAAGATAATACATGTTGTGCCAGCCTGTATATATAAAACAGTATTCTATAATAAAAATTAAATATTCTTAATTAATTATTATTAATTAAAAGTTAAAACATTAAAAAAATTAATTACCCAACAATTTTTTAAACTTATTATCGGATATTATATTAAGTAAAATAAAATAAAATAATAAATTGATATAAATTTTCATTTATTAAATTAAGCAAAAATAATTCACATAATAATACTTAGTTAACAATAATATTAAATATATTTAAGAACCACAAAGTAATTATAAAAAATACTAAAATCATATATAAATAAATATAACTACACAAAAATAAATATTTTAAATAAAGTAGTTATTAATTCTAATATTATATTATGTAATAATTATTATTTCTATCATTTTAGTAATAATTTTGATAATTATAAAGATTTTAAGTAATTTTTAAACATATATTAATCTATTTAAGTAATTTTATGTTTATGTTAATTATACTAATAATTAATCTTTTAAATATATACATTAATTATGAAATCGTTTATAAAATTAATTTTATAAAAGTTTAATTCAAATGTTATTTATTTTATCATTATTGACGAATCGGCCAAATTGTCTAGAGTGGCCCTT